AATTGTCGTGAAGTTTTTGTTTAGTTGGTACTCACCCTGACCTGGTAATGTTAACTGAATAAAAAAAGCTACCAGTACAAAACAGATTTTCCATGTCTGTTTAGGAAGCATTCTATCATGTTTTCAACAAGGAAGCTTTTAACTGGAAAAGTGACTCTTGATGTTTAGTACTTTAATATAGACACTTGAGTTTTAAGGTGGTTTCCATTAGAAACCTTTTTTATGGCATGTAAGGGAAACAATAAATGTACATTTATCTTTTACAAACCAAATGAATTGTATTATTATCATATAAGTACCAATTAAAAAGGGTATGAAGGACCACATTTGTCTCCTTTGTTGTAAAGATCTCCGTTAAACTTGTGGTATTAAGTGTTTGAAAACCTAAGCTTGGGATAAGTATTATAAGGGTGAATTAAAAAAAATGACCAAACCCATATTTTTTAACCTGCACTTAAAGTACAGGCAATGGGAATAAATTTCTATGTCTCGCATATGTCTTTAGATAGTGTCTAAATACCTGCCAAATATCTCATTGTTATCTCAATTCACTAAAAAGTCATGCCCAAAAATGATACTAAAAATGTCGGGAGTGCAACACCTTTTTGTGACATTTTGAAAATTCAATATTTTTGAAGATCTGCGAAATAAACCCTAATGGTTTATGGTGGAAATAAAGACTTTCCTGATAATATTCAAAGTATTGAACTTTAAATGTAGACTGTAGCAACTTTTGTTTGACCAAGTTGTGGTCATGGCTGATGTTGAAAAAAATGTTATACCATGTTAGGAGTGCAACAGAAAAAATGTAGTGTTGCCAAAAAAAAACATTGATTTTAAAAATCTGAAAGACAATTAAGTAAAAAAAGAATTTTCAAAGTGTTAAACAATAACTGATATACAATTTAAAACTTAAAAATGTTATATAAATCACAAGCACCATTAATGAGAGTCAAGTATCTGTGCATATCCAATAATGTCAGGAGTGCAACATTTAATGTTTTGTTCCCCAGCATGAAAAAACTTTTATCAGTATATGATTCTCTGGTTTTTATTTTTGAAAATAAAGACACAAAGAACATTTTTACCAAATAGATTTATTAATTACAAAGTCTGTATTTCAGATCTATATTTATATGGTCATGAGTGCAACACATTTTTTTTAACATTCTTAAAAAAAATCTAAGAAAAGATAAAAACATACCCGATTTGATAAAATTTAAGAAAAAGAAGGAAATTAATAATAAAGCTGTCAATTATTTAGTACTAAATTACTCAAATAGATCATTATTAATTAAAGAATATTTCTTAGCATGAGAAGAAGTTTTTTCATCATATAATTTGAATCTTGAAAAATAAACACACTGAAAAATTGTTATAAAGTTAAAAAAAAAAAAAATCCGCCTCAACTTCACCGAAACAACAGAATAAATTCTGATATAATTTTGGCTTCACAATTCTACTTTAAAGACTCACATGCTCTTGGTCAGGAGTGCAACAAATATGTTTGAATTATTACTGATAAATATGAATAAATATAAAGAAAAAAGTGATGAGTAAATATTTCTAGTTGATCCCAGTTGCTTTTAGTGTTTGTCCTGTGAAGGAAGATATACTTTAAAAGTTTTATCGTCTAAATATATATTTTAGCTAGTTTTTTGACATAAATAGGGAATAATTCAAGATATAAAGCCAAGTTTAAATACTTTCATGTGTTTTCATTATGAAGTATTGGACTATAAATATTACACAATTTCATTATCACTTGATGTTGCTAACACTTTATGAATTTTTGTGTTCTGTGGTTTTAATTTTTAATTTTACTGCAGTCAGGAGTGCAACAAAACTGTTCTATAATTATCAATGATCTCCATCTATCTTTCCTAAAAAATTATTTGAAAAAAGACGTTTGATACAATTTGATGTTCAAAACATTACAATGTATGTCTATTCAACTAAATACAGATATTTACAGTCACTTCAGAGAGTAGTTTTCATCACTTAACACATATTTTTAAATACAGTTTATATATGGCAAATATATCTTGAAAATATGAAAAACTTGCCGTAAATGATTAAAAAAAAATATCAAAACGACGAACTGATTTACAAACTAGGAATGGGTTATTTTGTGTTATAATTTTTAAAACAATATTAAATAAAATTAGATATCAGATGTCAGGAGTGCAACACAATAATGTAACATAGGGTCACTTCAGAATCTAGTACATGTAATTTTTGTCAGAAAACTTTTATGTCAAAATTCTCTTTTAGCTTAAATTTAAAGAACAGACTTTAATGTACAAAAAATGATTTGGTTGGAATTTTATTGTTTCATATTTCTTTCATATTAAAACTTTTCAAACCAGAATTGAAAAAATAATGTAAAATAACAAAAGGAAATTTTTTTCCACATATACAAGATAAGGAACTCAATCAAGGTTTAGATCTAATCATTTATATCACTGATACCATTTTGAAGCATAAAAAAGTATAATTTCTTTTGATTATGTATTTTAGAAAGTCTTTTAGGATATAGTTTTAGGAAAAAGTTTTACTAAAAAAAAATCAGAAATTTTTATCCATTTGTCTATTCTATTGCAACTTTAGGAATTTTAACTAGAATACATGTACAATATGATGATATAAGTGAAAATTATGTCATGGGTAGTTGAATTTTTTCAAAAAAATTAAATTTGATGGTCATTGTTTTTTAATTCACCCATAATTTTTTTTATATATATTTCATAGATAAGTCACAGGAATGTGAATAAATTAAAAAAAAAAATCTTTATTTCATTGATTATGAAACATTTTCATTAAATTTAGATACCTTTTGCTTTGGAAAAATACGTATAGAATACGAGCGATATTTAATTACATGTACACTTTATATGTCTCTACATAAAATGTGAGATTAATTTGTGATCTCAAACTCTTGGGAGCCATTTAAGAAAAGAGAAAGCTTGAATATACAAGAAATGAAGATGCTTGCATATCAGAATGTTTAATTGTAGCCCTGTTGTTCTGAAAGACTTTTAAAAATTTCTTCCATATATTTCGATGTTAAATGTTGACCCCCCTATTGTGACCCATCCTAGTTCTAGGGACTCTGATTCTAGATTACATAAAGATGCTTGCATATTAATTTGACCTATTGTGGACCTGTTATTGTTGAAGATTTGAAAGAAATTCCCTTATTACATATGTATATATGTTTTCCTATAAAAAATGTAGAACCTTATTGTGGCCCAATTCTAGCCTCTGGGACAATGATGATTCTACATTAAATGAAGATGCTAATGCATGTATATAGATATGACTCATTATGGCCATGCTGTTGTACAACAGCATAGCCATAATGAGTCATATCATGTTCAGAAGAATTTTTATAATAAAATTGATATAAATTGCTGTATAATAAGTAGACTCCCATTTATGGCCCACCCTAACCCCTTAAATGACTTATTATTGCCCTGCTGTTCTGGAGAAAATTTTAAAAGGTATTTTCTAGATTTTCCTACATTTAACCTGGATCCCCTATAGTTTGTCCATCCTTCCCCAGTCACCATGATTTGAACAGACTTGAATCTACACCCTTCATAAGGAAGCATATTATTTTTCTGACCCAGAAGAATTCTCCAGAAGAATATTTTTGAATAATGCATTTAATTTTACTATTTATTATCTACACTGATGTGTGAAAAGTATACACACATAAAGTATACAGTTTACTGTATACAGTGCACACTATAGAAAAACTAGGTGTTCAAAGGAACGCATATTTGGCCTGCTTTGTAGCTTAATTAAAGAAAATAAAAATAAAAATAAATCTAAGAGCGGTCAACTATTTATTTACTACTAGCCTGATAGTTTATGCAATTGCCTGCAAAGAAGAAAAAAAATCATCCACGGATAGTATTAGACTGCGATAAAACTTGAAGATCAAAGAAAATATGGTTCCTCAACCTTCAAATGAATACAAACGTAATTAAATTTAAAGGATTTTTATTAGAAAAAAATTATTTATCGTTTTATTAAAACGTGTTTCCGACAATCCTCCAAAAGTAATTAGTCTGTCTTTACTGCAATTGTCAGTCTACCGATCTACATGCATTTTCATAGTATTGTATTTAAATATAAGTTTGTCCTTCGCCAAGCCATAGTGAACCCCGTCAAATTAATGTATTCGGTCAAGGGATGGAAATTTTTCTTTTAAGTATTCTTTTAAGTTTTCTAACTGTGCGGCTTTGAGGTACTTCTAAGGAAGGAAGGAGACAACATAAGGGGTATATGTACTTCTGAAGAAACACGGAGATAGCATAATAAGTACATGTACTTCTAAAGAAACAATGAGACAACATAATAGGTATGTGTACTTTAAAGGAAGAAAGGAGACAACATAATAAGTATCATGTACTTCAAAAGAAACAATGGGACACCATAATATGTATAATGATAATATATAATATGAAGTTGGATAAAACAATAAAATATTTATATAGTAATTAGTATATTATTTTTTTAAAGTCTCACTTGACCAATCGTTGGGAAGGATTGACTGTCCTATATTTCTATTACATGATCAGAGATGCAGCAATAGTAAAAAGACCTTAGTGTGAATATTTCATTTACTAACTTAGTTCTTTCAAATAAATTTGTACATAAAGCTGCAAGAATTTGTCATTCATTCTATATTAAGAGAGGTACATGTATTTAAAGAAGTTTGGTTCTTAGAAAATGAATTTGAAGAAGTAGTAAGTACATAAAAAAAATATTTTAAAATGCTATAAAAAGGCGATATTTTCCCGTTTGATACATAGAAACCTTGTTCCAGAAACGCGCTATTGGACTTTTGCGAGGAGCGCTGACTTTTACAGTTGAGGGCTTACTTTTACACTAGGACAATGTACGGAAGCTCTTCTACAATATAAATATTTAGGTCAGCATTTAATTAAACGAAATTGACGGGTTATTTCAAAGCACAAATAAACTGCCCTTGAAGAAAACGACAACCACCTACCCTTAACTTCCGGCCTTCACATGTTAGTGCCCTAACACCATACCTATGACCACTAGAAATATTATCCCATCTATTATCAATTCTGTACCTCCATACGTGATACAGGTTTAAATGTCAAAGTAAACAGTCAACTGTAAAAGTCAGTGCTTCTCGCAAAAGTCCAATATTATGAGGCTGTCGTTAATTGTGAAATTTCATAGAAAAACACTTTAATAAATTTACAAGTGTACACTGAAATAAATTATATAAACATGAATTTCCAAAGCGTTGCATATGTTTTAAGCAGATTTATTCCGCATTTGATTCCTTTCCATTTTGAAGGAAGTCAGGACTTTATCCTTCTTTATTCGACACTCTTCAACAGTGGGTCGGCATGTTTTATTGAGTTTATGTCGACATACTGCGTGCTGTCTTCTGCTCCCTGTATGGCTGTTTTTCTGTTTGACGACATGTTGTCAAAATCAATTTCTAAATAAACCATTCCACCGGTGTTTTTATTCTGAAACATAAAATGAGGTAATGTAAATATTAAGGTTTGGTGTTTATCCTAGTAACTACGGAAATTTGGACTTTATCAATCAGATTTAGCTAATACAGTTTAAAATAATCGCAAGAGTTTAACAACTTATTACTCGTACATATACCTTCATACAAACATCAAAATTTGAATTGTTTTCATTTTACCTGATGGACGTTTATGGCGTCGTTTGACTGTCTTGTTTGTCGTAATTAAAATATTAATATTTCGGGCATCATTTCATAGAATAGGTAAAGGAAATTCAAATTCGAGCTAATGAAGGACTACGACCTTTTTCAATAAATGTTTAATTAAAATTTATTTGTCATTTTGAAATCGTTTTTATAAAGAACCGCTGCCCAGAAAAGACCGTTTTTAAGCATTTCTCCCGTAGTGAATACAAATTCAATATTCAAATTTCATTCTTCAAAACATTGGATATATGGCACCATCATAGAAGGAAGTAAGTTGGGTTTTTTTTTACTAAAGCATAGCGAAATATTTGTTAAAGTGACATTTTCAAGAATAACGAGTCACAATGTTGTTGAGATTAAATGTAAGCATCCCCATGTAGTGCGGATTCATTTTTAACGCAGGGTTTCCTATATGAGATGAGTCAAAATCTGGGATGAAGGTTCAATAAAGGAATAATAAGAAAAATTCTTTCAAGCACTTAGCATTGCTTTTTTCCAAAGGGATGAAACAGGTTTCATTCTCGCTCTCATTTTCGACAGGTAAAATGTTTAGTTCATCTAAAGTCAACTGGGATGGCTCGATCATACTTCACCAATAGGTGGAAAGAGAGGCAGCAAGCATTTAATGAAAATTTCCCATACAAACAGAAACTTCTTAGCAAAAATGTAAATCTTTTTCTCAAGTACAGTAAAGCTTCAATTGGTCACATTTACATATTCAAGTAATCTCTATAGGGTAATCTTACATAACAATGTCTTTAAAAAATCACGACCCTCAAAGCTACCGTACTATAGTAGGGAGTCACAATGTAATTCCAAGAAAGATATATTAAAACATATCATAAATGTTCTTTTCAAGCTCAGAAGGGCCCCGATTAGTCAATATATATATATTGATTGATTGATTGTATGTTGTTTAACGTCCCTCTCGAGAATTTTTCACTCATATGGAGACGCCACCACTTGCCGGTGGAGAGCTGCAAATTTTGTCCTATGCTCGGCACTTACGGCCATTGAGCAGTGAGGGATCTTTTTCGTGCCAGCACCTACTGCGACACAGGACCTCGGTTTATACAGTCTCATCTGAAGGACCGGTCTCCACGTCCCACAGTGGGATTCGAACCCGTGATGTAAGGATCAACTTCTTACTTCGCGACTCTAGAGCAAACGCTCTAACCACTGCGCCACGCGGGCGACTATATATATATATATATATATATATATATATATATATATATATATATATATATATATATATATATATATATATATATATATATATATATATATATATATATATACATGCGTTACCATGTAGTTTAGATATACCTTTCTCAAATTCATGACTGATGGGGCTCTACTGGGGTAACTATTGAGGTACATATTTTGCTCAGACATATACATCCTTCTGTAAAATGAAATATGTGGAGATAACGAACAGTATTCGAGCTCAAACGTCCATTAAAAATTACAAAATAGGAGCAGAGCAAAGACGGACCTCTAAGACATCAGAGGTGGGATCAGGTGCCATGGAGGAGTGAGCATCCCCTGCCGACCGGTCACACCCGCCATGTGCTCCTTGCCATGATCGGGAAATAACGGAAAAATCCATCGAAATTCAGTGTGTAAATAATGGTCAAACAATTAGAATAAAAAAGTCAGTCAGCATTTGACTTAATGAAAGATTGTATTTACTGACAAGGTCATTGTATCGACCATAGAACTTACGAAATGATGACTTTAAACGAGACTGCTGATATTCTTGTTTCATCAACTTGTTTGTCAATAACTTACCTCGCCTCAGAAACTGTTCATACGTAGAGCATGCTCTGGTGTATCGAATCAACTGAGAGATATAAACCCTGTATGCAGGTGATAAGGGTATATTGCTGCATAGGTAAGGGAAGTTGACGATTGAAAAGTTAAGTCATCACGTTTATCATAAAGCTTTGTTATTAGATTACCATTAACATCTTTTTCTAAAGTATCCAAGTATGAAACAGATGTGTCAGAATCAGTGGTATCTTTTATCTCAAGCTCGCCGGGATATATCGTGTCGACATAAGAATGGAAATAACCATTGTTAATTGACAATACGTCGTCGATATATCTAAATGTCGAGTTGAAGGCCACAGCAAGTGTTTTCTGCTTCATATGAATACAAAAAAGGTCTGCTAATAACAGGGCGTAAATGGGAATTCCAATAGATTGCTGGAAGACCTGGTCTCCAAAAAACCACAGATATTGTCAATCAGAAACTCAAGCATCTTTTTAAGGTCAACTTCAGAGTACTTGTGTGTAAAATCAGATTGGTTTTTAACGAAGTAATTTTGCAAATGACCAATGACAAGGTAAGTATTCTTTTAAAATAAAACGGTGTTTCATTTCCGCGAGGAAGAGGTTGCTGACTCAGGCAAATTCTTAGCCAATGGGTACATGTGCCTTGTTTATTTCAATACAAAAATTGTCAAAATACTCACTTGTCCGGATTGCTTTTTATCCTCTACCGATGGTTTCTTGTTTATTGCTGTTTTTTCTGTAAAAGATCAAAAAAAAAAAGAAAGAAAAAAATAAATAAAGAAATAAAAACTTCATTTGTACCTTCTTCTTAGAAAAAAATGTTTCATTTTGATTTGTTTTGATTTGTTTATAGAATTTTGATATGTCTTAAACATTAACTACTTCAAAATCAATATTGTAAAAATAATAAGATAAAAAGTAATAATACTTATGCTTGGAACTAAAATTTCAATACTTTCAACATGTCTGTTTTATTTGGAAAATGTGTATACGAAGCATACATTTAATAACAGACCGTGCATACATGAAACTGGGTGGATGAAATCTTTAGCTAGACTTTGTAAATATGTTTTTTTAAATATTTCATTTTTTTAATTTTATTTTTTTTTCACTTCATCTTTGTCTAAAACATTATCTACCGCGAGCCTGAATAACAAAAGCACACATATATAGAGCAAATTAATCCTCAAAATCATGTTATGCAACTATCTTTTTCTTTCTCCAAAAAGTATGTAGAAACTTCCTCGATTCCTTAAAAAAAATTGAGAATGTATTTAAATATACACTAATTTCTATGCTGACGGTAAGACAGGTTTATTATGTGACATTTATAATCTAGCTTACTATTATAATGCTATTTATTCCAACCATTAAAGTTAAATGTCAAGAAATATTGATGGCATTTTTCAGAGATATCTTCTGGCTAAGGTCAATGTTTTTTAGTACTCACCCTTTCCTGGCTGAGATTTACGGATTTCAGCGTACACGGGAATGTGATTCTCATTTTTCTTTATCTTGTTGACGACAGCGTAAACGTCACTTCCGTTTATAGGGGTATTGTTTTGTTCAGGGTTTGCTTGTGGTTTTTCAGTTACAATGTCGGCAGAGATATAGAGAGTATTCTCAGCCATTTCTAACCTATGGTCTGAAAAAAAGAAACTTAAAAAATTAACAAATTACTATATTTCATATGGCACCAATAGGAACAAGCCCCCACCCCCTCTCCGGCGAGGGCTCTTTTACAGAGTGTTCTTTCATCACCAATTCTAACATTTATGTTTAACATCCAGCTCAACAACCGTTAGAATTATAGAATTGGTTTTCATTTCACTTCAGTTTTATCAAGCACTTAACATTGTTTTTTTTTTCCAAAGGGGTAGATGGGCTTTATCATTGCAAGTTTTAAATTATTTTTTCACATTTTCTTTCCAAATGGTCCAAAAAAAAAAAAAAAAAAAAAAAAAAAAAAAAAAAAAAAATAGAAGAGAAATCATCATATAAAGGATTTATTTATCATTGAGTGGGTGACTTGAAAAAGAAATTTTTAGTTTGAATTTCAAATTGTAATAATTCTTACATGTGATTTTCTTTATATTAGTAGTACATTACATTACACTATCCGTTAAAACATCATTGGTATAGAACTAAAGAGACATTAAGGCTCTAAATCTTAAATAGAGTTCTAAAGTAAAGTTTCATGGTAAATCAAAGTATAAAAGTGTATACAATAATTACTGAGATTGCTTTGTCTATTGGACAAATCCTACCGACTTCGAATTCGAGGATTTCTGGTCTAAAGGCGACAAGCGTTATTAAAAACGCAATGCATTGTTGTTTTCTAAGTAAATAGTGAAAATTCAAGACGCTCAATTTTCAGCTAAAATATCGTTAATTATTCTTAAAGAATGTGCTAAATGTTTGTCTACAAAATAAAAAAAAACTTTTGTTATGAATAGATAATTGTAAACAGCTGCTGAGTTTTCGTTAAGTGATATATATATATATATATATAAACAGTTTATGATGTTTATGTTCAAAAATTTTTCCAAGGGAGTATAGGTTCAGAGTAAAATATGATGTAATGCTCAATAAAACACATGCTCAATTATCTTCTCATTGAACATTCCATATATGTAGTTTTTTTGAGACAGTTTATAGCCACAGTAGTACCAGCCTTGAAAGGATTATCATAATGCATCATAATGATCTTAAACATTCTACAAATTCTACTCATAATATGGAAACGAGAAAAATAAAAAAGAACAATGCCGTATTTATATGACACTGCTATTTGAATACATGACATGTTTACCTTTTCCCTGAGAAGTATTGCTTCTTTAAAGGAAAAGCAAGAACTGTTTTAGAAGATTTAACGGAATTTATTATTCTGATAAAAATATGTAGCAAACCTTCAAACATTCAACATTTAACAGCTATTTTGAGAAGTAAGTTTTAAATACATTATGGAATTAGAATTAAGAAATAGCGACTTACCTAGATTCTTTATCTTTGAAAAAAAGTAGACTTGATATTTATTATTTAAATATTGGATATACTTGATGTGAATTTGGATAAATATATGTTTTTGTTATTCTTTTAATATTATTTGCTTATTGATTTCTCAATTGTTTCATTCTGTATATATATTTTGCATGTACTTAAATATTTAAGACAAAGTTCTGAACATTAAAAAGTACCTCAAGTCTTATAATCTAACAACATATAAAAGAACTGTATTGTATATAATTTTTGTTCTTTAAAGAGCAAAATTTGAGAATAGTTATCAGATTTTTATCTTTTGTGATTTTTTCATGCAATAATCCCTCAATCTTAAAAAAAGCCCCACTATTATTATTACAATCGTCATTAATTATAGCAAGATAAATATTAGCTTTCTTTAATTTCTAATGCAATCTTAAGTTCTGAAGAGGAAAGTACATGTAAGTACACTTATTAACCATTAACGTTTTAGGAACATGAACTACTTACATGTTTTGTTCTGCTTAAATTGTTTCTTTTTCACACAAAGAATTATCACCAAGACCACAATCAGAAGAAGAACTGTCCCTCCCGATATACCAATAATTAAAATACTTTCATTATTTTCGACATCTGTAATTAATAGCTTTTATAAACATATGTAAAGCAAAACACATCAGTAACAATGCAAATATGTAAGAAGGCATTATTCTTGTCCATTTTTTACTTCGTTATGACATCGCCTTAAAAGGTAAGTAAAATAACACCGTATTAGCGTTTGACTGAATTACAGAGATACTGTGTGAAGTTGTTGTGGTCGGTCTGTTTTCTTAAATTTGTGGGTTTTACATATTAGCTGGAACGTAAGTTATTAAACTGTGTCACTGAGTATTGTTATAGCCTCAAATAATTGTTCCTATATAAATCAATACTAATAAAAGTCTAACATTTCCAATGTTTTACTGGGCATAAAAAATTGATGTTTGACCGCGGAGTGAGATATAAGACCTGTCGATGAGATGTTGGGTCGCTTACGTCACATAATGGGCGGGGTCAGCCAAATCTCATTTGCATTCGTTGGTGTTCGACAAACATGTGTGTCAAAAAAATAATAATAAAATAAATAAATAAAAGGTATAACAAAACATTTATTGACTGGGTTTTCGGGCAAAATGCGTTTTGTCGACCCTTCGAACCAAACAATTTGCCTTCGGCCTAACGGCCTCAGGTAAACAGTTTGGTTCTTGGGTCCGACAAAACGCATGTTGCCCTCGAACCCAGTCAATAAATGTATAATGTTGTATGTGTGCTCATCAGTTTGTCAGGTCTTTATTTATTCTATACCCCAAATAAATAAATTAGCAGATTGAGTGTACATCGTGTTGATACTTGACTGAATCAAAGAGACATGGTGCAAAGCTGGAGAGAAAACATCTAAACTGGAAGTATTAAAACATTAAGAATATAAAATTATTATCTGCTCGTCTTCTGTTTGTTTTTACCATGCACAGAGTAATGTGATATGTAACTTTTGACGCTCATGAGTCTGTCAGGCCTGTTATTTATTATATTGTTAGTTTCATTAATACTTACACTTTGCGGCAGTAGTAGACTGAGAGTACATCGTGGTGGTGCTCGACTGTATCACCGAGACACTGTGTGTAGGTGGAGTGTTCGGTTTGTTTTCTACAGAAGTTTGTGGAGGTAGCATTTTATTTTAAAAAAAAAAAGCTTATCATGTTTTATCACATTTCAAATGTTTTGAGCGTTTCAGAAATTACAGACGACAAAATAATTTTTGCATTTATTTAATAATAATACTTATAATTTTTTGCATTTATTTCATGATAATTCTTGTAATTATAATGAATTGAAATTCTTTTCATCTTCAGTGTTTGCTTCTATTGTATATTTTTCTTCAGAAATATAATGAATATAGCATCACTTGTACCTTTCACAATGACGGTAATCACATCACTGCGTTTATATTTCTTTCGATCTTGTGTAATAACCTCACACTTGAAAGTATTGTTCATCTGCATGGTTATATCATAAAATAAAACATTTCCTTCTTGGAAACGATGTTGATATACTGTGTCATTATACATGAGATACCATACGTATGTGCAATTCCAGCAGTTGGATTCACAGGTAATATTTTCTTTGGGCTTTTTACCTAATTCGTAGTTAAATATTGTTCTGTTTGGGTTTATATTCACCTTTATGCCTGAAAGAAAAAAATGCAAACTATGGATATAAAAATAATTCAGGTGTTTTAGTGACATGATTATTACAAAATAAAGTTTCTGAAATAGTTAAGTACAAGTTTTTACATATATATTATACACTTGGGCCATTGCGCCTATGGCAATGGGCTTAAATTAAACATTCTACAGCATTAACTATAATATGAGAATTATTAAAACCAATTCTGGGACCTTCAAGGCATATAATTTATAATAGTTTTCTTGGGCTCATAAAAATAGAATGTATGTAAATCATAACTAGATGCTGTCATAAGACAGTAAAATACCCGCACTACTGTGTTTGCCTCTAAATGCACCCTCCTTCATAATTTACACAGTATATGTATTTGTCAAATCGATCATAAAATGCTCAGGCGAAAATGTGGCCCATGGGCCTCTTATGAGAGTATTTCATATATTTATTTCATTACCAGTCTGAAATGCAGCATTTAGTTAATGAATCGGATGTATATTTTGAAACAAGAGACCCATGGGCCACAACGCTCACCTGAGTAACTTTGGCTCGGCTGTTCTACACCTGATTCCCCCTTGTAATACCTATTGTGGCCCTACCCTGGGGGTCATGATTTGAACAATTTAAAATCTACACTACACCATGATGCTTCCACATAAGTTTCAGCTTTTCTGGTTCAGTGGTTCTTGAGAAGATTTTTCCTATATATTTCAATGTAAAATTTGGATTCCCTATTGTGGCCCCGCCCTACATTGTATCCCCGGGGGTCATGATATGAACAATTTAGAGTCTACACTACCCCAGGATGCTTTCGCATAAGTTTCAGCTTTTCTGGTTCAGTGGTTCTTGAGAAGAAGATTTTTCCTATATATTTCAATGTAAAACTTGGATTCCCTATTGTGGCCCTGTTCTACCCCTGGGGGTCATGATTTGAACAATTTAGAATCTACACTACACCAGGATGTTTCCACATAAGCTTCAGCTTTTCTGGCCCAGTGATTCTTGAGAAGAAGATTTTTTAAGATATTTTCTACATATTTTAATGTAAAACTTAGATTCCCTATTGTAGTCCCGCCCTACCCCCGGGGGTCATGATTTGAACAATTTAGAATCTACACTATCCCAGGATGCTTTTCTGGCCCAGTGGTTCTTGAGAAGAAGATTTTTTTTAATGACCCCACCCTATTTTTGTCCTGATTATCTCCCCTTGGAAGGGGGCTTGGCCCTTTATTTTAACAATTTAAACTCCCCTTCACCCAAGAATGCCTTGTATCAATTTTGATTAAAATTGGACCAGTGGTTCTTGAGAAGAAGTTGAAAATGTGAAAAGTTTACAGACGGACGGACGACGGACAAGTGATCAGAAAAGCTCACTTGAGCTTTCAGCTCAGGTAAGCTAAAAAAGGGGGATGAATTTTTGGCCCATAATTAGAACTTTTTAAATTTATTTTCAAAACAACAAATAATATTTCATATATTTAAGTGCATACAGTTTTTGATGAACTTAAAAAAAATTAGATGTCAACTTTTATCAGTATTTGAGTAGGCAAAAAACCAGGCGCGGATCCAGGAATTGAGATTGAGAGGGGGGGGGGGTGCAAAAAAGGCAGGGGGTCTGGGACCGTGTTGAGACCCCTAGTGTGTCCAGGGCGAAGCCTTCGGAAGCTACTGGATTCTAGAGATTTTGTAGGGTAAAAATGAGGTCTACCGAGTCGACATTTTTTTTTCATTTTCTCGGAGAAACACTGATTTGCGCTAAATTTGATAATTTTAGGAGGGTGGGGTGGGCGTGCACAGGTTGCACCCCCCTTAAATCCGCCACTGAAAACTCTCTCGAAAACCCACAACCAATCAATTTTGTCAAAATCACCCAATCCTCACAATTGCCTGTTTTTGGAAATAGAAAATATATGTTAAAACATCGTTTGTAATTATAATATAAATTTAAATATGTACCATACGTGTACACCCTTTTGAGCATTTCTAGACACGCGCCTCACATTGGACTTGCGTAATCCTACTAGTACTAGTTTTACCATTATCATGATTGGATTGCACGTGGCGTACGCATTATTATATCAGTAGGAATTGATTCATTGTGTGTTTTATAGGAATTAATTCATTGTGTGTTTTAATTGGATTATATTTAATGAAGTTGACAGAACTTATAACAGGCGGTAAGTACAAGTTTACGTATAGAATAGGGGTAAAATAATCTGAAATACAAATGGTTAGGTATAGTTTAAAAAGGGTCAACGACCATCGGATTCCACGTCATGCAAGTTATACATTGAAGCAAGTCCATGGGGGTCATCCCATTCCCTGGATATTGAAACAATCAAATAGCTTTTAATAAAATCGGGAACAATAAACCCGTCTTTATATTATGACAGATTAAATAGTATAAGAGGTCATGTCCCCCTCCTCACCCCGGGTCTCCCTGGCCGCCCCCGTCCCTGAAATGACAAATGATCATGTAGCTCAAAAATGGTTGAAAACATTTCCATTTGACCATACATAATTTTGTTTCTTGTGTTATGTATCTAATGGTATAAAGGTTATGAACCCCTGGAGGTGATCCCCACCCCCTTGAACTGGAAATGTATAACGTACATAATATGACCTGCATCAAATTCAGAAGTGCATCAATGATAAGATTGCTTGACATTCCATTCATGATTTTGGATCAACCCATCTTCCTAGATTTGGGAATGAAAATCATTCAGAGAGATGACTATTTAACTTTATGCACATATTTGTATATATATTTTTTATGCCAATCAAAAGAAAATATTGGTTTGCAAACATGAACAGACTGGGGTCTGGGAAGTGGGAAAAGGGGGAAGGACTTATCTCTGCATGTCTTAATTGTCGAAAAGTCCTAAAATTTGTGAATATTAACCACACTTCTGACTTGTCATCATTATTTACTCTTCTTACAACATACATGTACATGTTTATTAGTCAACACTTTTAGCCATATCTCTAGTTCTTCCCTTGAATCAGGAATGATGATATAAATATTTTAAGAATGATTAAGAGTTGATGAAGCCCTATGGTTGAATTATCTATTCCGGTATCGCTTGATTTTGCTACTCAAAACACCTTGATTAGCTATTATCATTTTACTAACAGTGTGACAGTTTGCTTGATGGGGCGTGCTAAAATTTTGTAAGGTGATTATCATACTAATCGATTGGATGTTTGATTTCAAGGAAATCATTCCTAATTTGCATATAAAACTCAGAATACAATAATATCCTGATAATACTGACCAATCACATTGAATGATTGTTTACCAGTACGGCATTTGTAGTCAGCATCAACACGTGGTCAGTCAAAGCCCGTTTTCTGTCCTTAAAAATTAAAGCAAGTGTCATATTTGTTGTGATTTGACCGGATGGAGTTTTGAATAGGTATAAGAAAATTTAAAGAATGGAATAAGTAAGGCTACACTGCTACTGTTGTACTATATAGCTATCGATATCATCATTATATTATATTGTCCGTCCACATGTAATTGTTGTTTACTGCATAATAGTAAACAATCATTTAATACGATTGGTCTGTATTTTCAGTGGTATCGCTGGGTTCTGTTTTTCATATGTAAAATAGTATTGGTTCCATTGAAATCAAAACCAATCTATGAGTAACATGATATTCAGCATACAAAATTTTAAGCACGCCAAGTCAAGCAAACTGTCACGCTATTAGTAAAACGATAATATTTATAATCATACTGTTTGATTATAATCATACTTTTTGGTAAGTGCAGTTTTTTCAACATGGATAAATGACATGCATTTTCAGCTTTGAACTATTCTGAAAATAATGCATGAGATAAAATTGCTTTTCAAATATTGTAGCTCTTTCCAAGCACTTGTGATCATAAGTTTTAGCTCATCTGATCCGAAGGCTTTTCTGATCACATTTTGTCCGGCGTCCATCTGTCTGTCCGTCTGTCTGTAAACTTTTCATATTTTTCGACTTCTTCTCAAGAACCACTGAGCCAATTTCAACCAAACTTGCCACAAAGTATCCTTGGTTGAAAGGAATTCAGGTTTGTTCAAATAAAATGCAATGCCCTCAGTCAAGGGTAGATAATTAGGAATTAGTGAAAAAATAATGACATCTTTTAAAAATCTTCTTCTCAAGAACCACTGGACAAGGAAAGATGAAACTTATGTGGAAACATTTTCAGGTAGTGTAGATTCAAATTTGTTCAAATCATGACCCCCGGGGGTAGGGTGGGGCCACAATGGGCGATTAAAGTTTTACATATTAATACATAGGAAAATTCTTTAAAACTCTTCTTCTCCATAACAGCAAAGCCATGATTGGTCATATTTATTTGGAAGCACCCTCAGTTAGTGTAGATTCAAGTTTGTTCAAATCTTGACCCCCGGGGGAAGGGTGTGGCCATAACGGGGGATCAACGTTTTACATAGTAATATATAGGAAAAAACTTTAAAAATCTTCTTCTCAAGAACAGCAAAGCCATGAATAGTCATTTCGATATGGAAGCATCCTCAGGTAGTGTAGATTCAAGTTTGTTCAAATGATGACCCCCAGGGGTAGGGTGAGACCACAATAGGGGATCAAAGTTTTGCATAGAAATATATAGAAATAGATCTTTTTCTCAAGAACAGAAAAGCCATGTTTACTCAGATTGATATGGAGGCATCCCCAGGTAGTGTAGATTCAAATTTGTTCAAATGAGGACTCCCGGGGGTAGGGTGGGGCCACAATGGGAATCATATTTTCTAAAAACGAATATATAGGAAAAACTTCTGCTCAAGAACAGCAAAGCCATTTGTTAAATTGATATGGAAGAATCATCAGGTGGTTTAAAATTCATGTCCCCCCCCCCCCTCCGCAAACTTTTCAATACTGAACTGATTTTTTTCTTTTTTTTAATGCTTTACTTTTGTGTACTAGATATAGGTAATACACTATAAATAAAATTGCACAAAAATTTTTAACACACCCACCCACTTCCACTCTTCA